TACAGTTATTATTAATTATTGATTTTTAATTGTATTGTTACCCTTACTTGGTGACAACTGTTGATTACATTTTAATTACTGGCACTTTCAGTCGTTATCACTTGGTATGTATATTTATATTGCATTTGAATATACAGTGTTAAAAAATACTTTTGTTCAAATCTGTTATTGTTCCTGTAGCTCAAAGAGTAGAGCATAGCTGTAGCAATTGCAAAATCTTGGGTTTCATTCTCAGTCATAAATGTAAAGACTCAAACTATTTAAAAAAAAATCTCTCATTTTATCCATCAAGCGTCTTTTCATCGGTTTTCCACCCGTCTGTCATTTTGCATCATTATTTGTTGCAAGTGCTGTTGTGAAGAGGACTGTAATTGTTGTTTTGTAATGTAAACTGCCCGTCTTGGCTGTTACGCTCATCGTGTAGCTGCGATAGTGGACAGGCGGCCCAGGGATTAAGGAGCAAGAAACGGCCAACACTAGCTGATAGGCTGTCAGTCTGTGATAATGTTTATTGATTAAAAAGAAGGGGGGAATACAAACACAGTTTAATAGAGTAGGTGGCTGCAAATAGGAATGGGCATATTTGTGATTCCGGTTCTTAACTCAGACAGCCAGGCTAAAATTCATATATTCCCCACTGTTACTCTCCATGTCAAAAGATTGCTTTAAAGTAATAGAACCATATTCGTGTTAGAATTGGTTAAATATTACTTAAATGGAAATAACTAAAAGGAGAAAAAATCTGTTATCTGCCATTTGTTTGTTTTGCCCTGCCAAACTCGACATAAAGTGAGAGGTGTCTGCTATTAGCTGGGAGACTGCAGTGTTTGCAGAGGAGTTGTTTGTGTTAACAGCGCTGAGGGGCGGGTGATAGACGAGTATTAAGGTACAGCCTATCTTCTGTCAGCCCCTCACTGAACGTTCAAACAATTACATGAAGGGATGTATGATAACGGTGTATGTATAGCCAAGACTTTTCTGTCATTAAGGGCGACTTAAGCGATCCTGTTTTACTCCTGCGGTTCTTCTATCCTCGATGCAAGGCCGCTCCGTTTATGAATCCCTCCTCATAAGCCGCAAAGCAAGCAACTGAAGGTCAATAATACCGGTGGCAATTGAAAACCTAGTGACGGGACACAAGGAATTAAATTGTAATGCGCTTTGGCTGCTCATGTTCCATTAGTGTAAATATGTTGGTTAGTGATGATGTTTCCATGATTTAGTACAGTTTTTTTTATTCTGTTTTAGATATTGTGATAATTTAACTTTATTTTAATGTCAAATTAATTAACCTTTGCTTCGGTAGAGTAAATTTAAGCTTTTAAAGATTTGCTTTTTGCTTTTTCAGTGTCTCGGTCACCTAAAGATGCCGATCCCCAGATAAATAGCAAACGGGGGAAAAGGTTAGCGGGTTAACTAGGTTGGCTTAAACAAGAGAAAATGTGTTCAGTCCATTTTGAAACTAGTGATAGGTGTCTTGAAGCACAATGGCTGGGGCTTTATCCTGAGATTAGGTATTGTGGTTAAAGCTAAACTACCTTCCATCAGAGCAGCGCAAGGCAAGCGCAGCCCTTTCAGCCCACGCTAACAAGACTTCTCCACATTGCAGACCCACTCAAAGTAATTAAATCAATCCTTTTGTACTCACCACTCTCTCCTTCAGTGACGAGTGAAGATCTGATTATTGCCTTCATGCATATTCAAAAAGACTCCCTGACTGGGCCTTAATGAGCTTGCTCTCAGTCGCACAAAACCTTGTTCATCTCGCTCGCTTTTTTTTTTTTTTGTCTCTCCCTCTCTTTTTCATGCATTTTAATTCCTGACAACAAAAAAAGAGGGAAACGGCAGTCAGACGCACAGAATGAACGAGTGAGGAGAGTCAGCCCACTTAAAATAAATCGTAAATGTTCAAAAAGTGACTGAGTTGTAGAGGAGTAGAGATCTTCTCCTTCAAACTCCGATAGACAAATTGGATTACTGGGTATTGGATTAAACAGAAAACGGGTGGATAAGAAATGAGAAGAGCTTGCTGTGATCACAGGGTTTAATATATTTCTTTTCTTTTTCTTTTCTTCATGGCCTCTTCTCTCCACCCCCATCCTGTTTTTTTTTTTCCTTCAGTAAAGACACCCAGCTCTTAACAGGACTCAGGATTAATTTGTAATTGTTCTGGTTTCTTAATGCTTTAGAAAGATTTTTATCTAAATCAAATGAGGGGGAATTTTCTAATTAAACAAAATGCCAAGCAAAACAATCCCCCTGTTGCGGAGGTTTACTTCAGAGTTATTTGTTTTTTATCATTCTGTAAATATCTAAATAAGGTTCTAATAAAATAAATAAATAAATAGAACTTTCAATTCACATAATTAATTTTCTATTCACAGCGTTTGCCTAATTACATGCCTTGAAAATGAAAATCATATTTAGGCATTCTGGAAACTTTTGGGAAGATCTTGTACACTAATCTTTTCCAAATATCATCAAGTTGTGGTTTTTAGAACAGTTGCTAAAGCAGCTCGGATAATTAATTGATATTTTGGAATCATGTCAGTCATGTCTGGAGCTGTTTGAGGTGTATTTGAAATTTAACAGGTGTATATATATCTAGCTGATGTTACCTAAAAATATTCACATGAAACTTCACATTTGGGTGACTTACGGTTTGCTTTGTCTATGTGTGTGTGCTGTAGCAGTAAATAATCAGTAAAGCTTAGCAGGAAAGAGGGGAAGATTGTGAAATGTGTTAGGAATTCATTAATGCTATCTATTTTGAATGCAGCATTTGCTGAGATGACTATCTTAATCTGATTCTGCTACTGGGGCCAGATCACCCTGCCATGGACACAGACCCTCGGGCCTACCAGACAAGCCTGGCCCCTCGTGCTCATGTATGTGTGGACTGTAGGGTGTGTGACAGTCTCTCTTGAGTTTTGTGCTACCTTTCTTCATTCCAAAGTGAATGCTATTGGGAATGATCAGCCAGGCTAAAGAAGAAGCAGGTTCTGTTTAGTTTTCATTAGATTTTATTTAGTGCTCTGAAGAAAATAAATCATGTGAACATTTTTATAAAGTTCATGAAATGTTTGAGATAATTTATTAGAATTGTTTATATAATTGTATTATTTGTATTTTACAAATGTCCATTTCTGTGTAATATAAATGTTTTCTAGATGTAGTATATTATATAGGATTGCACAAAACCATTCAGTCCTTTAAAATAATATTGTTTTAGTGCAGATATATACACTTCAACAAAAAAACAATATTTCTATAATCAATAAATTCAAATGTATTACATTTATTTAGCAGGAAAAAAGTGTTCAACCACACAAAGGGATGCAGCCAGACACCAAAATGCCATATTTTGGGGTTAAAAAGTCACTACATTCAATATATCTGTGAAACTTGATCTATGGAGATATTTTGATTTATTTTAAACTGTAAACTGTATGAATTGTGGCATTTTTAGCTGTGATCTTCAGGGTTGTTATAGTAAACTAAAGCTGAAACTCAAATTAAAACCATTAAAACAAAATTGTTCCTTGAAATAAAATAAACTTTAACTGAAAAAAATTAATTCAATATAAAAAATGATTTCAGCTAGTTTTCAAGGCAACATTTCTCATTTTAATTTAGTTTAACTTGATGTAGAAACTAAAACTGAAATAAAATGAATAAAAACTATATAGACATTTAAAAACAATACTACTACAAATGACAAAAAAAACGACAATTACAAAAACGTATATATTAAAATGAAGATGATAATATAAAAATTAAAACTCATTCAAAATAATAATAAAAACTATAATAGTATCTCAATGATGCTAAAATAGCGGTGGTGATTTCACATGACCTTAAGTCAGATGAATCTAAATTAAGAAAAAAAACTGCAAGTTTGTTTGTTTTCACGTGTTTTTTTTTTTTTTTTTTCAATTTCAGGACATCAGTTATTTAGGTCGTCCCCAGCAAATGTCATAGTTTAAGTGTTGGCACTGTAGAATGTATTTGTGTGCGTGTTATTTGTTTTAGTGGTAAAGCGAGGACTTCTTTCATGCTGTCAGGGATCTGTCAGTGCTGAAGCTCCGGCAATGGCCTCCGGGATGCGGCTGCTAATCCGTCATTCCCTTACAATGTCACAAAAGCTTAATATTACCATTTATTATTTGCTTGTTTCATTTGACTGTGCGTCGCTACAATGACCTGTCACTGCATACTTTATCCCTTCCGAGCTGCACTATTTAAAAGTTGACTACAATAATCCAGGCTTGATTCCTAAATCCCGGACCCCCTCTTTTTTTTTCCTCCCTTCTACTCTGCGTTGTCGTCAAATACAGAATTTCACACATCTGGCACTGGCAGACATGAGAGTGGCTCCCCTGATGGAGGGCCGGGGAGTTTTGGTGGGGATGAGTGACAGGGCCATCGTCCCACCGTGGGCCGCCGCTGGCTGTTGGAGGAGTGAAAAAAGTGCTTAACTTATCCATGCCAGAGAAAGTCAGTCAAAAGTCTGTGTGTGTGTGTGTGTGTGTGTGTGTGTGTGTTTCTCTCTGTTAAGGTGTCTGTTTAAAGAACTGGGTGAGACTTTGGAAATTAAATGGTTTTATGGAGGTTTACCTGGCAGGAATATGAATGGTTGGCTAATTATTATCTGCAGACATATAGCATGCCTGGGTAATTAGTGAGACCTTTTGACTATATACAAAAATAATCTGTTATTTAATCTCATGATTAATCTCATGATGAAATGGTAAAAATTTTCAATTCTGTACTTAATTTAAGATATTTCCAGATATTTTAAGGTATTTTATTTTAAGGTTGTTGTTGTAGTGTTTTTTTATTTATTTTTTTGATGCAGGCCTAGCACCGATTTATGGCCCACTGGGGGTCCCCAGACCTAGTTTAAAAAACCCTGCATCACATCAATGTTTTTTTAATATGATAAGAATGTTATAATAAAGTTTTACATGCTAAGGTTTTCTGTGTATGTGTGTCTTCAGGCAATAATAAGGAAGAGGAAGAATCCATGATGCAGGAATGGTTTACGCTTGTCAACAAGAAGAATGCTCTGATCCGCCGACAGAACCAGCTCTCTCTGCTGTGAGTTCATGTTTACCCTTTCTCTCTTTCTCCAACCCTTACCAATGGAAGCGGTGGTCTCCGAGCACACACACCTATAATATGTTGAGACCCACACTTGAAATGATTTTCCCAGGAGACCTGAGCCCAGTCAGAAGGGCCCCTCATTCACTTCCACCCCTCCCACAGCGGCCCTCCACCGTAAAGCAGACAAAACGGCAAATCAGTACAGACGCGTCTGCAATAATGTGATTTCAAAGACTGTATTATTCCACCCATTATGAGAATTGGATCAACCAAAAAAAAAGAAGAATTGAAAAAATGACTTCATTCATCTAAAAGAGGAAGCCATTATGACAATAACCCACATATTTACCCTCTTTTTTTAACTGCTTTGACATTTATTTATTTTTTGCCTCAAAAGATGATAATGCTCATTTTTTAAACCTTTCATCCTTTTCTTTAAAAGTGAGAGTGAGACGTACAGAAATCTGGGCAGCTGTTCATTCTGCATAAAGAGTGAGAGAGAGAGGAGAAGAAAGAGACAGAGTATCAAAGCTCTCACAAATGACAGATTGAAGTATTCTAATCACATTATATCACTGGAAAAGGGCTTTTTAAGTGCTCAATTAAAAGGGCCTTGATAATTTCTCTTTCTTTCATTTCTTTTTAGTCACTGAACAGGCTGTGAAGGACAAATTCTATTAGGGACAGAGTTAGCTCATTTCCAATACATTTGAAAGTGGCAAAATTTAATTTGCCGCGTGATACTCCAACCGCCCGCCCGCTTTCCTCCCCCCACCACCGTTTCCCCGCTCTCGGCCCCCTCTGTTCCTGTTTGTGTATCGCTTATTTGCAGTAGATTAATGTGAGGTAGGGAAAGAGTTGGCGAGTTTACGAATCAATGTTTATTAAAGATTTCTTTAAGTGTTTAATGATTTAGTAATTAACATATTGATGAACTTTTACAACTTGCCCAGGGAGAAGGAACACGATCTGGAGAGACGCTTTGAGCTGCTGAACCGAGAATTAAGGGCAATGCTGGCGATTGAAGGTAAGAGGGAGTGAAAGAGGGATTTGGGGGTGAATTTGTGAGGCGCTCTGTGAAAGGCAAAGATCCTCTCCTGCTTAATTAAACCTGCTCTTTGACACCTCAGATGTGGCTCCGCCCACCCAGCCCTGATTCGATAGCGCTGCCAATTGTTTTAGCTCCCTTTATTAATGTAGATCTTACAAATTCACCCTTGGATTGGACACAATATATATGATTTACTCTCTAAACCGCAAGTATTACAGCCAAAAGTGCAGCTGTCACTTCCACGTCAATATTAAATCTGATGTGCCTTGGGGTGTCAAAGAACGCACTCGCGTTTATAAGCTTTTTGAGTGTGTGTTATACAGACAGGTAAGGAAAGTAAAAAATAAAGCCTATTGTGCGGTATCAAAGTTGTCTGGTTAAGTTTAATCCCTTTGACTGTGTCCTCTTTCGCAAAATGAACCTTTTACAATCAATGCAAATTGATTTTACAATTCGATGGTGACCCTCTCACCGCTTGGCTAACCATGGTAATTTCTTTCTGCACCTGATAAGCTAGCTGATCCATCATAAATCAATTCTAATTAGTTCGGAGAGGTTGACAGTGGACATGAATAGCCAAGCAGAGAGCATAGCTCCCCATATTGTGATGCTCCCCGTATTCGCCACATGCTTTCTCACCTCCAGGGCTTCACCGTGGCAGATCAACATGGTTCATCTCAATATTTTGACATGTTTCTGAAAGATTCCTCCACGCTGAGAGACGCCATGATACTGAACGCTAAATGCTGAGCCCGATAACAAGAATTTAAGCTAATAACGTTCAGATGTTCAAGTGCCTCAGTCTTGTGTCCACTTATCAGTGAACATGGAGTGAGTTCCAAATATTGGTCTGGATGTGCAAGGGTGACGGGGTCCATCCATAGCAGTGGTGATTCAGTCCCTGCTGCTTGTAACAACCCTATCAGTCCACACACTGCTACCTGTTGAATTATCACTCGCAGTTATTTTCTCTCTCTCTCACTTTATCTCCCTTGCTCCCTCTCTCTCTCTCTTTCTCCCATGAGGCTCAGCACTTGGCATTCAGAGTCAGGTTGTTTCTGAAGCGAGTCAGAGATAGTTCTGAGCTGCTGGTGAGGAGGTCCGTGTCTTATTTGGAGCCCCAACGGGCTCTCACGCCCAGCCAATGCAGACAGGTAATTGCTGATTTGCTTGGTCAGCTGATGACATTGGAAGTGTAGCGGCTGAGGCGTTCAGACAGGCACACACACACTCTTTCTCATATATCAGTGCACACTCTCTTGCTGATAGAGAAAAATACTCACCCTCCTTGACCCCACGACTGTGCAGAGGAGAATCTACAGTCACTGTGACCTGGAGATGAGTAATATCGAAGCCTCATATAGATGTCATGGAGAGGTTTGAGTAACATTTAGAGCATTTTACATATCTTTTTTTTTCACAGAATGTCAACAACTATTTGATTTCTCCATTCTAAGTGTCCTAAATGTTTTCATGCTGACTGCTAAAATAAGTGCACAGCAACTGAGATGGCAAACAGGATGCAGAATTGAGTTTTGAATTTACATTTGAGTATAAAGTACAATTAAAAGGAGTACATATAACAAATTTTTAACTGGAAAGCCATAGTTTATCAAGACAAACTTTAAATTTTAGTTCAGCAAAGCCTTATTTTAATTTTTTTTAAAGCATTTGAAGGTTTTATAGATAGATTATCCCTGACTAGCATGACATATGGAACAACCTTTGTCAGTTGGATCAGTTTGCTCTTTTTTAAATAAATATTAATACTGTAGATATCATTACTCACTGACTTAAATTCAGGTACACTTGCCTGTTGCATTACACACTATTAGATCTGAAGCCTGTGGATACCAGAAAGGGAAAGAAAATATTTTAGAAATTAAAGGCAGGTTGAAAAGACGGGAATGATTCGGTTAAAGGTGTAGAGCAAACAGGGTGAGTGTTAATGTCAGCTAAACGATAACCCCTTCAGTCTGTGCTCCGCTGTGGGGAGGCAAAGAAAAGTGGCGAGGCCTTCCACAATATGCCATGACTCCTATTTCTCTGCTTCTAAATTGATCCTTTTTGCCCTTTTTATCTGCCTGCCATGCACACACGCTTTCTCTCAAATTCGTATTTTTTCCCCTCCCCTCTCCCTATTTCTTTCTTTCCTCAAATGCGGTGCACTCCGGGGCGTTATATTTGAAAGTGGACGCTCCTTTTTGCCGAGGGATTTCTGCATAGGTCCCCCAGTTTTGTTGTTACGGTTTTATATGATAAGCTTTTTTATATGTTTAAAATCAATATGTAATCCTGTGCAAGGGCTTATCCCCCTACAACCCCATTTGTAAATCTATTTGAGCTTTGTTACATGTCTGGGCTGCCGTATTCCTCAGATTGATTGGGTGCAGTGTGAGAATCCTATCAAATGGCCGGCTTTGATGATGTTGCAAACTCTTTCAAGATTGCTAGTTGACTGGAACTGGAGATAAGGCGAGACCACACTTTCTCATTCTACACTATTCACTGAAATCTGTATTCATTTCCATTTAGCTGTCGCTTTCAGCATTTGACTCTCAATGTTCACTTTTATATTACTGCACCTAGTAGATGATTGTATTTGTGTAGTCGGCTGTGTTTCCTGCATTTAGAAATGACACCAGAATCTTTTTTTTTTGTTGTTGTTGTTTTTTTTTGTATTTTTAGATTTTTTTTTTTCTTAAAACCATTTGGATTTAAGTGATAATTATCTGTAGTTGGCAGTAGTTGATATCATAAATGATATCCTGTATATTTTTACTGAAATGATTTACAGGTTGTTTTTCCTCAGCATTTTAACCTTGTGTAGTTGAATTTTTTTCCCATTTCTCAAAAACCAAATTAGTTACATCACTCATATGCATGCACAAAAACACAAGATGCAGATTAGTGATTCAAACATTTAGACAAAGACATTGTGTATTTGGTTTGTTTTTGATAGTCACTTTATTTGTATCTGATATAGCAGATGGGAGACGTAGTTTGGGGATAGCGTAGTAAGAATCCAGGAACTGTTGTCCCGTCATCTTCCTTGTCATGGTTTTCCATGTTGGTCTTTGTCTCATTCCCAGCTGGCTTCTCTCCAGCTCCATCTTACGCCGGAGCTCCCAGCCTGCCCAGGACTCACCCAAATCTGCTGTAATAAGATCATGCATTTTTCCCTGGATTCCTCCAACACTACATATTTCCTCAGAAAAAATGTTCTAACCAAAAAAACTCTCCATTCTGTCCAAAAGTTTGCTTCGTGTGTCCATGCACTAAAGCAAGCAGAACATGTGTGTGAAGTTTGTGTTTAGTGATATTTCAGCAGAACTCTCAGAAGAAGCTCTGTGCCTCCTGAAGCTGCCGAGCAGGTTGCGCTCTTGAATAAATTTTGCTGTGGAGGAGGGTCATGGGGATTTGAACCAGCACATTCTTCTGTGGGTTGTGAGTGCTCACATGGTTACCATTGGTGTGCATTGTTAGGGTTATCTGAATAAGCACCAACCATGTGAGTTTTAACGTGATTGCCCAGGGCAATGAGAGAGAGAGAGAAAGAGGGGAGTAATCCAAAAAGGATTGACCCCCCCCCCCCCCCCCACCAACACCACCATCTCCATCTCCAAATAGCCTTCATCCATCACTTCTTTGAGGAAAAGAGAGAAGAAGGAGGCAGCAGCTTCCGTTTGTGTTTTTTGGCGATCGCTCGTTTACTCTGCCGTGTCCCTCTGCGTCCATATTCATTGTTTACCTTCTTAATGAGGGAGGCGGTGCCACTCCCGCTTGATTGACAGCTGCATGCGGCCTCTGCCGGAGGTGCAGGGGAGGATCTGTGGCTTTTTGGCTGAGAATGCTGAAGGGGAACAGAAGGAGGAGGTAAAGAGTTGAGGGGCTTTTTCTCTCTCTACCTCTTTGGGACATGCAGGAGAAGTTTTTGTTGGTCGTAGCCTACCCTCCAGGCAGGTCTTTGTGAAGTAGGCATTGTCATTTTTGACAGAGGGCTAGCAGAAACGACAGCGAATTAAAAGGAGAGTCGTGAAAGACAGAGAACGGATGGAGAGCGATGCAGGATAAACAGTCTGGCCTGTAGGATGTTAAATGCGGTCAGCACTGTGGGCACACAGGAAACGACCGGCCTGTGTTGTGTTGCTAGTATAACAGAAAATTCAACTTCATATTTGTTTGTTTTTCACTAAATTGCTTTTTAAAGTACAAAAATCCTCCCTTTTCATTTTTCTTCCTGCAGCTTTTAAAATTCTGCAAATTTGTTAAAGCAGAGACAAATTCTCTCAAATATTTAGCATTAGCCTCTCTGAACACCAAAGACTTTCATTTAGCTGCTGGGGGCCAAATAACTTTCAAATATTAGAACTCTGTTCATTTTGCCACTGTGCTCCACTTCAAAGCCAAAGAGGTTAAACGAGAGCAAGGAGCAGGGCTTTTAGGACCAACGGCGCTCTCAGCACCACACTGCAATTTCTCACAACTGCAACAGAAATATTTAATTCTAATGAAATACACTTATTTTAATGGTAGACTTTTCAGAAGGTCGAATGTGTCAAAATTAGTCTCCCTATAACAAGAGAAGTTGATTTTGTGTGCATGAGGGAGCACTAATAAAGCAGTGTAAAGACACTAGTACAGTCTGTTCTTACAGCGGGCTGAAGAATAGGCCCGGCAAGATAACTTCCCCTTGGCTGTGAGCAGGGCCCTAATCTGCACTGGTATCAGTAAGGCCTGATCTCGTCTGCCTGGCTGATATTTCAGACCCATTTTTGGCAGGGAGACAGGAGCAGGTCACCTCACAGAGACCTTCGCTATAGTCACACACACCTTTTAAACTTTGGATTTATGTCATTTGTTTTCAGAAACCACATATGAACTTAAACATTTAAGTCCTTTTTTTCCAGATTATGGAACTGTGTGATTAAGTGAAAAAAATCTGAATTCTAATGTATTTATATGCGATTCAATCTTAGAAATGGCATCAGTGTGTCTCTTCTTGAGGCGTCTGAAAGCAGTTAGTGTACTCAATGTACTGTCCTCGCATTCACTCATGTTATCAGATCCTTTCTGTCTGAATTCCACCATGTGGCTGCTCTCCATACATACCCACCTGTGGGTGCCCTGGTACAACTTCACAATAACTCAACAACATTACGGTCTACATTTTCTTTTTCTGAATATTCGATCACGGGACTGTTATGTCTTTGTCACTAAGAGCCAGTATATGATGTCTGTCTTTAAAGGGATAGTTCAACCAATGCTGACATAATTTCCTCACCCGCATGTCATTCCAAACCTGTATGACTTTTTTTTTTTTTGTGGAACACAAAATACGATATTTTGAAAGTCAATGGAGCCCAATGGGATTCATTGTATGGACACAAAGAACAGCTATTTTTCAAATTAGGAATGACATGAGGGTGAGTAAATGATGAAAGAACTGTCATTTTCAGATGAACTATCCCCTTAAGTATTGTTTCCAGGATTCCATTTTTCCTTTCCATCTTCCAGACTGGCAGAAGACGGAGGCGCAAAAACGCAGAGAGCAGCTGCTGCTGGATGAGCTGGTCATACTGGTCAACAAACGTGACGCACTGGTTAGAGACCTAGATGCCCAGGAGAAAGAGTAAGTCTTCCTGTTGCAAGGCATTGTGGGATTGTCAGAGCCAGGATTAGTCCTCCAGGCCCTATAGCGTGGTTCAGAGAGGGTTTTAAAGGCCAAAGTTTGCAGTCACCCACATTCTCTTTGCCACCAAGCATGTTTAGGTGGTTTGTGAGGGTGATGGAGTCAGGCAGAGAGGCCTTGTGAATATTTCAAGAGCCAAAATGACTCTGAAGCTGTTCAGACACAGTACAGGTCATTGGTGCTGGAGGTGCAGGTGACATTCTCCTGTGTCGGTGTCCATGACCTTTGATCCTGTGTGTGTGTGTGTGTGTGTGTGTGTGTGTGTCGGCAGGGCTGAGGAGGAAGACGAACACCTGGAGAGAACCCTGGAACAGAACAAAGGCAAGATGGCAAAGAAAGAGGAGAAGTGTGTTCTTCAGTGACGGTCATTTCCCAAGCAAAAAAGGCGCAAGATGACATGTACACTACAAAGTCTTGAAATGTATTTTTGTCATAGAGACCACAGCATACACTTTATTATTGTTGATTTAAATCTTCATATGTAGATCTGTTTGTTATCATTAAGGGCTTAAGAACTGCTGAATGGCCTGGGATGCATCCTGTTTTATTAATACCTGAGAGATTTATTATTTCACATAAACGAATACAAAAACTGTATTATTATTAGGTTTGCTTTGTTGGATTTCACAAACAAGGTACTTAAGGAACTAATATTTGAGGAGATGCAAAGCTGTACAATTTTGAAAACTTTCTGACTAAATGGTTAAATCCATTCTCATTCTTGATTAATCTCAACACTAAGGCATTCAAAGCCTTCCGAATGCGTTTCAATTTCTTACAGGAAATTATAACTCAAAGTTTCGGTACAGCATTTAAACTGGGGACATTTCCTGTTTGTGAATAGGATTTGGTTTCAAAATCATATCACATTTCAGTTTTTAAAAAATCTGTCAACATTCTCCTCTAACAAGAACGGAAATGTTTTAATTACTCAACTTAATACGTGTAGAATATTTGAGAATGGGGACTCAAATATTGTTTTGTTTTCAAAAATATATTTTGTGTTTTTTGTTGAATATGTTTACCAAACATTGAGCTTGCTTTAGTGAGAAGAGTGAAATACTGCAAGTGCATATAGAAAAACACACGGTCATGTTGTACATTTCATTTCACTGTTGTTGGAGGCTTGGAACAAAACTTTATTTTCAGAAGCAGATCAGTGTAATTTATTACTGTTTGCTTTTATTACTGTTTAAGACGTTTTTAAAGTAACCATATTCACAATCCTGTACATTTGCTTAAGGACTTTAATATTTATTGTATAGTTAGAAGGAAGGCTTTTCTTGTCCGCATATTTACGTTTCACGTCTTTATTGGATGAGCATCACCGGTTTATTTATTCCTCTGTACTATAAATATCACTGTTAAATAAAATCCAAATGATTTCATACTCGAATCAAACAGCAGCTCGTGTGGTTTTAGGTGTTGCTGAAGGATTTGGCTTTGTGTTTCTACAGCAAATGTTGTGTCATCTTTATTCAGCTGATAGTGAATGAATTTACGATATCATTTTTTTAAAACGCATTTATTTCATTCTGTCGTTTATGCAATTCTGTTCGTTTTTATTTCAATTGTCCGAATAATTGCATATTTTTTTCTGTCATTTATTACATGGATTTACCCTATTATTTTTGGCCTACTGGTTTAATAATCACTTGAATATATGTTTTTCATCAGGTTCTGACTGTACTGACGTTTCAGACAATCGTTTCTTTTAATAAAACTTTATGAAGTCGCACTTTGACGAAACACCACGGACAATTAAACAATTAAAACCATTCACAGGCGCTCAAGAGGGACTGCGAAAATTCCCCTGCGTTTTACGGTTATTTCTAAATGGATGTTTGCGTTTTGTTTGGTTTGAGGTCGTTCCTCAGAGGGAGATTAAGGCAGAATCACTGTCCAGAGCATCTGCTTTCCCTCAGACACTTCATTCTCAGCCAAACAGCCTTCACCGCAGCCTCCATTTAACGAGCAAAATAAGTTTTGACAGCTGACGTCCTCCCTTAGTCCTTCTTTCTCTCTAATACTTCTACATTAATTTGCTGATGGTTGGGTCCAACTGTAGTCCTCCGTTCCCCCGGGCGTTTTGTTTTTATTATTTTGCAGTTATCACAGATGACTGTAATCTTCTGAATAGTAGGCACTTATATGCGCTCACAAACCATTACATGGCGACAGAAAGGACGTTTGTTTGCTGCCTTTACTAATCGGAGAGTTTGAGCCTGCGAGTCGCTTGAAACGCATGTCATAATTTGATGCATTAGACCTGTGGTGGGCTCCGTGTAATCCCGATGAGACGGTAGCGTGGTGTTCATATCTAAAAATGACCGCTTTTAACTGTTTTGCTGTCCATTCAGATGCCTAATTTAATACAAGATGTGTTTCTATACATCTGATTTGTCCCAGTAACACGTGAGGTGGAATATTAATATTTTACTTTTGGAAAACGCTTAAAGTAACTGTCTTTTTATTGCACTTTTTATGAGTAGCCTATCTGTTCAAAGCGCTTTTTTTTTGTAAAAATAAATTCAATATATAAGTTCAATTTCATGATGAAAATATTTCATGCATTTGGGCTTTCTTACATTATATTAGAACTCATTTAATGTTCTGTTTCAGCTACGCAACTATAAGAAAGTTTAGATACCTCTGGCATTTTCTGTGCATTTCACTAACACAAACAAATATAAAGATTTTTAAAAAATAATAATAATAAACACGTGATCTGGGTCGTTCTAGTTCACACATTCACATGCAGAAGCATTGTCAAAATGCACAATTCATTCCCTTACCTGATCGCTGATCATTGTTTTCAGGCTCAAACCAACAGTATGTTTAGTGGGGGGGGAAGCATTTAAAAAAGCTTTTAAAATAGATATTCTTATAAAAAAGGAGCTCTCCAAAACGGTGGTAAAAGTAGAGCATCTCAGCGCGAGCAGAGATGCGCGTTCTGTGGATCCAGCTGCTTTGAAGTCCACGGCCTGACTTCAGGTGTTGTGCTGTTGGACTTCACGAAGCCCCTCGACCGCCGAAAATCCTTCCCTCGTCCTAAAATACACCGGGGGAATCGGTACCGAGCCTTCTGTACGAGCTTCAATATCGTATTTTATACATCGTCGTTTTAATAAGGACCGACAACATCGCCGACCCGCTCCCATCCTGCCGGCTGAAGAAACCAAACTTTCCCCCTCCTCTTCTCGCCTCCTCTAATCCCGAGATTTACCAGCTCAGCATTTAGAAAATTCGGCTGCAATTTAGGATTAGACAAAATACTCTTATTACAAAAGCTTCTTGCAACCTGATAACTTGATACTTGTTCTGGCTTCATCACGGGTCTTAACAACATCAGGGCCGAGAGATTAAATAGCAAACGGACAAAATGCAGGAATTGTATATATTTATATTGTGTGCATTTGGGATCCCATTTTATTATCCGTGTAAATAGTTTAAGAACAGGTGGAATCGGCCTTTTTGGGGCCTGGTGCCAACACTTGTGCTTTAAACAGGCAGTATAAACATTTAATATGCGCATTCCATACTTCTATGCAGTATCCAATAACTTTCCCTTTAGTTTTTTCGCGTCTATTGACGGCTAACAGCGGCGTCTCTGTTACTCCCAAGAGTAGGCTACTTTTGTCGATGACTTTGTTGATCTATAGAAGAACGTGTAAAGCCACCCGGTCTTTGATTGGATGCCCCATATAGTAAAACTGTAATTACGTTCCTCCGGCGGTCACTTGCTTTGAACATTAGGTCGCTTTCAGCTCAGGCCTCAATTAGAATGAGTTGATTTTGTGAGATCAACAAAAGGACTGAGCGAAGCCTTATTAAGATCTTCTGAGCCTTTCAGAAACAGTTAAGGAAACACCGCGCCCTCCGTGATATTCTGTTACCGTATTTTATTGGCATTTCTTTGGGAAAGTGAGGCTTGAAAGGTGCTTTCTTTGATTCTCTGAGGCTCAGACTCTCTCTGTGTGCTGATTTCGGTTTTTTTCTGGAAGGGCCGAGTTTTTCTTCACTCCCTTTCACGTTTCCTCTCCGTCTGCCTATTAAACTTTACGCACACTATTCTGAAATGTAATTCTAAGTGGGGATTAGCCACTCATTAATATTCATGAGGCGGGGTAACATTAAAAATGAAAATAGATCAAGTGTATAAATGAAACTTTTTTTGCTGCATTTTACACCGCTTCAAATCGATGGACAACACGAATCGATCGCCAAAGGGAGTCTTAAATTCTGTATCAAACGATACTTTGTGAATTTGCGGTGGAATTTGGACATTTCAGTAAAGGCCTTGATGTCCTTTACTGCTTGGATTTTGGATATGCATAGCTTTAATTATATTACACTGGTTAATCCACGTTGATAAATTTTGCATTTAGATGATTTAATAAATTAATGCCAGCCTATTTAAATATGCCATAATGTCACTTTTGTCATTTTAATGTAAAAATGTGTATTTTAATTTTTTGGGAAAACGAATAAAATAAAATTATAAATAAAATACATTTCAAGACGCAAAACAGTTATAATTGTAATTAAGCTTTTAGACAAATATATTGTTTAGATTTTACACGACTTCCTGTGTCTGTCTATATCGCAATCTTTCGGTAAAATAGTATAATTTAAATGGTTTAGGCTTAATATGTTTAAAGCTCACTCTATAGCCTACCTTAATTTTAAAACGACTTTTGTATGTGAAGCCCAGATTCTAATATAGCCTATTTTCCATCTGTCTTCAATTTTAGGAAATGTTTAACTGTATTGTCTACAATTTTCTCTATATTTAGGTCTTCTGGAAATTCTAAAGATTTACTCGTGCGGGGCTTGTTCTTGATGTCTTTAGTCAGCGCGGGGTGGGGCTTTAAGGATGTTCAACCCATGGACTGGCTGGTACAGTTGTCAATCAAGCAGAGACTGCGCGGCGATTGGCTGGAGTGGGCGGATCTGCAGGTGTCCTACGCTCTTAGAGAGGCAGGGTTAGGAGAAGGTGATCAATCTCCATCCGTCTACATTAGCAATCACCTTAAACTAGTGACAGACACGAATGAGAAAGCCAAAGCAGACGAGTTTAATGCATTTGGTTTTAAACCCCGGGAACACACTCTGAATAGACTCGCCTACAACAACAAGTCCAGCTAAAGGCCAGACACGTGCGTCATATCAACATTGCTGCGTATCTGCAGCTTTGAGGAGAGTTTTAGACGACATTTATTTGGTGAGGTTCCTCGGTCGGTTTGCCTTTCTGAACTCTTGCATTGGTGGATATTTTTTTATCTTCTGGTCAGACTGCAAAAAATCAGGAGAGGAGAAGGACGGAGGGTTCTGGAAAAGGTAAAAACTAAAAAATTGGGTCTTTTAA